ATTCAAGAGGAGCTAAGGAAGCTATATGGTGGTAACCTTCCTCGACGAGGTGATGATGATGGAACAGGAGGGGCAGGGCAGCCCGGGATTTGTTGAGACATTTACGACCTTAGCTTCCTCCATTTTAAACACTTGACACTAACATTTTAATATTTGTTGTTAGAACATATTGAATTATGCTACATTCGCATTTGAAGTTTGCATTAATCTACATTTGAATTAGCAATTTGGGTGTTTGAAATCTTGTTTGGAATTATATGTGTGAAGATTGAATGTGTTTTGCCCCCCACACACCCCATTGTAATAGGTAGTGTTGAAAACAGCAAAATTCTGGTTCTGGCAACAGGTCATCTGCGACGGACTGACCGTCGCTATATTTGTCGCTGATCTGCAACGGAGGCTTCCGTTGCTAATGCCGTCGCAGATCTGCGACGGTTTTCTATATCCGTCGCAGATGTTGCTGGATGGAAAAAATGAAAACCCCGTGACAGTTCCGTCGCAGATCTGCCACGGATTTTAAAGTCCGTCGCAGATTTTGAATCTGCCAAAACTTTTCTGCGACGGAACGATTTCGTGGCAGATCCGTCGCAAAATAGAAATCTGCCACGGAAAATTAGATTCTGCCACGAAATTTTTCCGTTGCAGAAGAGGAATTTTCTTGTAGTGTAATGGAGGTGGATGCCCAACTTCATCAAGAAAAACGGGATGAAGCAGCGATGAAAATGGAGGAATACGAGAGACAGTCCAAGAGGTACCACGACAAGAAAACCTTACCTCGGGCCTTTGAGGTTGGGGATTGGGTTTTAAGGAAAAGAGAGAAGAGCCAACCCACCAAAGGAGGAAAGTTAGCTAAAAATTGGGAGGGACCATACTGTGTAGAAAAAGTTGTACGCGTTGGGACCTACCAACTAGCTACAATGGATGGCAAAGCATTAGAAAACTACTGGAATGTTGAGCACTCAAAAAAATTCTATCAATGAGAAGTGATCCATCCAAGGTTTTTCCAATAATTTATCAATAGGCGTTCCTTATTTTGTTTCTGTTTCTTTTAGTTTGCAAGAGAATGTAATGTATTCTACGTGTAAAGGAAAAAGAAAGTAATTTTCAGATTCATGATCCTCATTATCGGTCCATGGATTACATTTCTAAAAAAAAGGAGGACCAATCCATTAAGGAAACTAGAGAATCAAAGGGTCAGTGGACTATTCACTACAAAAGGAAGCGGATCAACGTGAGGGAGGACGGAACTAGGACGGCTCTGGCCCCATAGGTTTCAGAATGCCGGGGAATTTCAACCAAGGGTCCAAGCCATCACAGTAAGGCTACATTCTGGCATAGAATTCATTCTGAACCTCAAGCCCTACACGGTAGAAACCCCGGCCATAGTCTGAGATGCGCTCTGCTTCCATTCGAGCCATATGCCCCTCGTAAGTAAGGTGTTCAGCCTTAAGGGAATGGCGAGCCTCCTCAAGCGAGCTGCGGTCAGAACTTCTCTCCTCGGTAAGAGCTAAGTTAAGCTCTTCCACCTGATGGGAGAGTTGACGCCGCTTTCCTTATCACCTCCTCAGACTGTTGGCGCCATTTCTACTCCAGTTCCTCCTCCGCTTGCCAGCGATGGAGAGCGGCTTCTTCTCGGATCAACCATTTCCGCTCTAAGCACTGCCGGGTCAAATCATCCCTTACCATCTGCATCTCCCCCACGTCCATGGCCCACCTCACTAAATACTGCTTGTTCTTGGTTGTAAGGTGCTCGTTCTCGGAAGAGATCTGCTCATTCTCGGACAAGACCCGATCGTACTCCAGGCGCTCAACACAAATAGAATGCCGGGATCAGAAATCGCCTGACTCCCGAGACAAAGCAGCATTGCGGTCCAAGAGGCGAAGAGCATTGCGCTGGGTGGCAGAGGTAGTGACATACTCGGACTACAAAAGCAAAGTAAGATACAACAGTTAATTATGAAAAAGGGCAGGAAGGAATTGGAAAAGACGAAGGATAAAGGAAAGAAGAATGCTTACCATGCGAGTATACTCATCCAACATGAAAGGCCAAGCCGGGCTCTCGACCACATCCGGGTGGTCCTTCCGGAACTGATCCATCTCATAGAGACTGCATTGGAAGTCTTCTCCGGCCCAGGCCGTATACCCTGTAAAGAGATGGGCCTCCCGGGCATAGGGGTGAGGCAGATCGCCAAAGGCATTATCCTGCCCAGTGGGAGGCTCATCTCATGGATTGCCGGCGGACTCTTCTAGGCTTTGGGGAGGGGTGGAGTTCTGGCCTCACTTGTGGCGACCCTGTGAAGACGAAGACCTGGTCTCATATGTTAGACCGGGATTGGCATTAGGCTGGACCGCTGGACGGATTGTGGCCCGCCGGAAGCTGGAGGACCGGGTAAGCTCTCCAGCCTCCTTGAAGGACCGCTGAATGTCCAATCTATGGAGAGAAGCATCCTGGCCAAGGGGCAGTCCAAAGATGCTCTTCGCCGCTGATTCTGCGAAGTACTAAGCAGTTGGTGGAAGGAGCTGAGAAGTGACGTCATCCCCTCCACAGCCAGAGGAGGGGGGAAAGTGCCAGGTAGACTCTGGCTACAGTGGAGCCCAAACCCATCCACTTGGACATGGGACGGTTCAAGGGACCCCAGTGAACCAGTGGCCCGACCAATGGGATGGGTCCCACTGCCTTGGGGATGAAAACCCAGAGAGCTGGTGGGCTGGGTAGAAGAAGAAACCCCCCCTGCCAAAGAGAGTGGTATGAGGCACACCTGAGATGAAATTGGCCCCCTTAAGGGCCTCAGGAGAGAAATGGTAGAGGCGATCGTCATCAGAGATGTCCTCCACTTCCTCCTGGGCGATCACTTGGTTGGCAAGTTCCAAAGGGTGGTCCCCACCTCTTCTCCTTTAGTGTCCTCCTCTGGAGAGGGATCCCTCCGTGAGGATCGCCGCGACCCCCGTCGAAGCCGTGTGGTCTTGGGGGGAGGGGCCCAAGAAGAGACGGTATTCCCCGATATCGCTTGAAGAGGAGCATCATGGGACACCCAAAACCCAAGACACCGGAAGTAGGAGTTCTTAGAGAAGAGGGCGTGGGGAACCGGATGGTCGTTCTTGAGGAGAAGAAGGAAGATCTCCTCAAGGGCGGGAGTCCGAGGAGGAAAAGTGTGGGAGGGGAACTTGTCTTCCTTCTTCCTCCACACGTTGGGAAAGGGGAGATCCTCCGGGGCCAATCGTCGATCTTGTCGACCGGGCTCTCCAAAAACTATATGTCCGTTCGGGCCGTGAAGCTCACGAACCCCCTGCTTGCTTCATGGTCATATTTGTGGAGGCGGAAGAATGAGAGGAAGAGTTCCAACATAGGTTGGATACCTTTTTTGTGGCATCGGGCAAGGAATCAAAAGATGGACTCGTGATAGTTGGAGGAGATTTTGCAGGAAGGGATGGAGTACCGGTTGCAAATCTCCACCAAAAAGGGGTGGATAGGGGAATGACAATCGTAGTTTTTTGGGTAGCAAACCTTCCCAGTAAAGGATTAGTTTTCTCTCCGAGTGTCGTATCTCTCGAGGACTGGACAAAGGGAATTAGTCTAATTACTCTAACTAGGCAAAGATTAGGATTGGTTTAAGAAAGTCTTCTCGGAACGAATAAAAAGGGAGCGGAGTAAAAATAATAAATAAATTTTACATAGTATAAGTGCAGATCTGGACCTAGGGTCAGGACATCATTTGGATTTATTTTATCATATTAAGTTAACAATTGGAATAATAATATTTTCTATTACTACCCATCCATTTCTAGATGTGTACTTAATCTGTTGCACTTGAATATCATAGCAATTTGACATACAATATTTTCTCAGTAAATGGCCAATTAAATCTTACGAGTTTAATTAACCAAATAAGGCAAGAACAATAGATTAACCATTCCAACATTAATTTAAAAAAAATAAACAACCAAACTAGTCCAGACCCAAAGATCCGGACCCTAACTCATACTATGCAAACATAAATTAAAACAACATTTTATTAAATAAAAGAAACTTACAACTTCCGTACAAGCAGATTTGAACATATTGGAGTGTGAAGCTCTAATCCCGAGAATGGGAGTGAAAGTGATGATTGGAATGGGGTGAATCGCGCTGTATTTATAGGACAGAGGCCGAGGCGTCCAAGTAGAAGCGTCCAAGTCCAGGCGTCCAGATTGGGATGCTTGAGCTGCTCCGGCCAACCAGGTTTTGCCAAGTGTCTTCCTTGGACTGCAATCCAGCCAAGGCGTCCAACTCCCAAGCGTCCAAGTTGGACGCCTTAGCCCTGGTCTGTTTGGGCTTCGCTGCTGGTGCGAGATCTTGGCCTAATTTTTGCTCCTTTTTGGCCTAAACGTCGATTTTATCCTCCCGGAGGCTTGTTAAAGCCCAAATCTTGATCCTTTGATGCTTTATTCCTTTTCCTCAAGTATTTGAACATAAAATGGATGATTTATGATGATTTTATGTGGAATCTGTTAGAATAAGTGACCAACGCTAGAGGGGGGTGAATAGCGTTTGATCGTAGAAATTGCAGGAATAAAAAATTAAGAACGTGAAATGTAAAGAGCGTAGAAAGCGTAAAGGGAGCACACCAAGATTTATACTGGTTCACCACAACGTGTGGCTAATCCAGTCTCCCGAGAGACTCTCTCGAGCTACACTACTTCCGTTAAGCTTACGGGTGCTTAAAAAACCGTTACAACCTGAGAACTCGAGTCCCACGAGCCTCAACAACCTTGCTTGGAGATACCGCACTCCAAGACTTCAACCCGAAGGAAAATACCTTTCCTTCGTACCACCAAGGGAAACAAGCTTCCCTTAACGTGTATACAACACTAAGACACTCAAGAACAAGACTCTCCTTAAGAGTGGATATGAGTAAAATATATACACTCAAGAACAACTCAAACTTCACACAAATTGACTCTAGAAAGCTATGGAAAATAATGTGATTTGGATGCAATGATAATATGAATATTGTGAAGTGAATTGGTGTGTAAAGCAGACCCAAACACCCCTTTTTATAGTGCCAAAATAGGCTCCAACGGACCAATACATTAAAGGGGTGATTGGCTTGATTTATGGGATTGAAAAGATTTGGGATCTGCAGGATATTGGCTTCCCATCGATGTTAGGGAGTTACCCATCGCTGGTAAGCCAATTTTCCTTCAGTTTTGAAGCCAACGGTCACCTACCCATCGATGGGTAAATGCTTCCCATCGCTGGGTGGGAGGTTGACTTTCAAATAAGGAAAGAATCAGCCTTAAATGACTCCCAACGGTCATGCCTTCCCATCGATGGTTAAGCCTTCCCATCGCTGGGTTCTCATCGATGGGTAAAGCTTCCCATCGCTGGGTAAGGGCATTCTGCCTTGTGGTAATGTTGCACCAAGGCTTTAACAGCGATGGGTAGAACTTCCCATCGCTGTTTGGCATGGTTCTGGAAATCGGTTTCGCTGAGGGACTGCTTACCCATCGATGGGAAGATCTTCCCATCGCTGGGTGGCATGATTCTGGAATCCCGGGATCACTTACCCATGCATGGGTGAAATCTACCATCGCTGGGTAGATGGCTAGCCCAGAACCATGGCCTAGCTGACCGGCGCTGAAACCTGACCGAAAAATGCAAAGTTCTCCAAAGTAAAAACTAAGTATATAAAACACTTATTTAATGTATTGTGATGTCAAAACAAGCTTTGTAAGTTGAAAACCACATCGTTAAGGTAAAAACCACGGTTGACCAAGTCAACACCGTACACGGGTGGTTTTCACCAAAAGACAAAACCGAAAGGTGGTTTTAATGATGTTTTGATTGGAGAACCATTTAAATGCATTCACAAACAATTCCCACACAAAAATACTTGAAAACCACTTCATTTAAGTAAAAACCACGGCTAGCCAAGTTTATGCCGTTTCGCATGGTTTTTATCAAACGACAAAAAATGAAAGGTGGTTTTTTAAGTGTTTTTGATGGAAAACTATTTAAATGTTCCCAGAAGTAAAAACAAATCATAAAAAGTTGAAAACCACTTGGTTGGTTCGGACGCCAAAAACCAACGCCGATAACCGAATGCCGAACGCCGGTTTCTGAAAAACCGAACGCCGGTTTCTGAAAGCCGAACCCTGTATGGCTTGGTTTTTGGTTTGGGCGAACACCAAGTGTTTTTAATATGTTTAAGAATGTTTGAAAATAATTTTGATGATATGTAAAATGCAATAAAAATGTTTTAGCCTAAAGAGCCAAAGTGCAAAGCTTGGGTCGGTCTTGATCACATTGTGACCGACTCAATGACGCTAAAGACTACGGTCTTCGTTCTTGGTCTCTTTTAGCTCTTGTTCTCTTGCTTTCTTCTTATATTTATTTCTCGCCTTGTATATT